CCTCAGTTTACATACTTTCCCATCAAAGCCATAACCTGGTGGAGGATCCATAAATACTTCTTCACGTAGATCACCATTTAGAAAAGCATTTTTTACATCCAACTGATGTAGCTCCCATGAGAAATTTGTAGCTAATGACAATAACACCCGAATTGTGTTGAGCTTCGCGACTGGAGCAAAGGTYTCTTTGTAGTCAATCCCTTCCTTTTGAGTAAACCCCTTTGCCACAAGTTTGGCCTTGAATCTTTCAATGGACCCGTCCTCCCTATGCTTTACAGTGAACACCCACTTGCATCCTACAGTGCTCTTCCCTTCTGGTAGATCTACTAATTCCCAAGTCTTTGCTTTCATTAGGGCTTTTATTTCCTCATTCATAGCCTCTTTCCATCTTGGATCAGACACTACTTCTGAGTACCTAGTAGGAACATGCACTGAGGAGAGAGCAGACACAAAGGAATAATAACGAGGAGATAAACATGAGTAAGAGACAAATTCAGCAATGGGGTGTCGGATAGTACAAGAGCGGGTAGACTTACAAAGAGCAATAGGGAGATCCAAATCAGAAGTATGAGTGATAGGATTACTTGAAGTTGCTGAGGCAGATTGATCCGAGTCCGATTGATTGCTGCCATGAGTTGGAGGGTCTTTTTTCCTTCTGTTGTAGGTGATTCTTATATCTTTCTGTTGCTTATTGGTGTCTCCAATTACATCTGCAGCATCAAGAGTGGTAACAAGAGTAATGGGAGTCTCACTAGGTTCACCCGAGATGCTACAACTAGGAGGATCAGGAGGAGAGGATGGAAGGCCCGAGGCAAAGAGGCATAAAACAGGAGGGGGAAGGAGAGTCCAAAGAAGAATCCTCTTCCATCCCACTAGTCTCCCTCTGAAGAGGATTTTGGGGAGAATGAAAATAGGAGTGAGACTCAAAAAATACCACATCTTTTGTGACATACTTCTTCTTGGTGATGGGATCATAACACTTGTAACCTTTCTGGGTAGGAGAGTACCCTAGAAAGATTCCTTTCGTAGCCCTAGGATCCAACTTGGACTTCTTCGGATCCTTAACATGYATAAAGYACACACAACCAAAGACCCTAGGTGGAAGAGGAAAATCTGGAAGATTAGGGCAAAGGAYAGAGAAAGGAGTTTTCATACCCAACACCTTGGATGGCATCCGATTTATCAGATATGATGCRRTAAGGACAGCTTGAGRYCAKTAGTGCTTGGGCACCTTGTGCTGAAATAATAAAGCTCGAGCGGTCTCCAATAAGTGTCTATTTTTGTGCTCAGCAACCCCATTCTGTTGAGGGGTACTAGCACAAGATGACTGATGTATCATGCCAGCATCCTCCATGAACAGGTTCAAGGACCTTTCAAAATATTCCGCAGCATTGTTTGAACGGAATTGCTTAATCTTCTTGTCAAATTAAGTCTCAATCATTTTACAAAATGCCATGGTTATCCGTGGAACTTCATCATGTCCTTTTAACAAGTAGATCCATGTGCATCGTGAATAGTGATCAATAAACTGATAAAGTAACGAAAGCCATCCATAGAAACAAGGGGTGAAGGACCCCAAACATCAGAATGGACCAAATCAAAAGGAGCTTGAATTTCATTACTAGAAATTGGATAAAGGTTTCTACATTGTTTTGACAACTGACACACTTCACAAACTAAACTTTGACTCGAAATACCCTTAAATAATTCAGGAAACAGCCCTTGCAATGGTGAAAAAGGTAAATGACCTAGCCTAGCATGCCACAAGTGTAACCTAGCTATTGACTCCTCATTATTCTGTATTCTGACTACTGGTTGCAGATGATTGTAAGGCCGAACTTATGTCTGCATCAAAATAGTAGAGACCTCCACACTCATGACCGCTCCCAATCGTTCTCTTCGTCAATCTGTCCTGAAAGGCACAATGAGTAGGAAAGAAAGTTATACTATAGTTTAAATTCTTGGCAACCTTCGAAACAGATAAGAGATTGGAAGTAAGATTGGGAACATGTAGAACAGATTTAAGAGAGAGGTTCTTGCTTAGGTCAACTCCCCCTTTCCCCGAGATGGTGGAGAGG